AAGAGCGGTAACAATAGTGAATACTTTCCCTGTAGTTCTGCCAAGGCCAAATATACAGCTGGTTAAGTGTTTAATTGGCAGCAGTCTTAGACAAAAGGTCATGTCTTCAGGTACTCTGGGAAAAAAATGGGTGGGAGATGTGAACAATAGACATGGTACATAAGCTGGGAGGGAAGGAGCTTTAACAAGTTTCTTTACAATAAAAGAAAAAGCATCCAGTACTCGTATCACGGTCACCCATTGTATATTCATTTTGTATCACAACACAATATGCTATTTTGGTTATTTGTGCTGAAGTGGAGGAATTAATCATCCCTTTCCACTTTCTCTTATTTGGCATTTGTCAGGGAGGGAGGCATGAGTGAAGCCTGCATCTACTCCTGTTCCTTCTGACTAACATTTGCCAATTCCGTTTTTCTTTTCACCACAGGATTCTGTGGCTCTTCACAAAAAACATCGCATCACGTTGCATAGCCCTGTTTCAGACCCTTTGTAGAAACTGATGCCAACCCTTGTCTCTCCCCAGGAAAATGACAGGGGCTGTCCCTAATTTCTAATTTATTTTTCTGTTTTATTTACACTCTTTTTGTTTCTCCTGGCAGACCACTGAATCAAGAGTGAACTTTGTCGTCTTGAGGCAGCTAGGCGTACAGCTGTCGGAGCCGGTAGAAGATGGCAGCACATCAAACAGCAGCAGCAGCAGCAATGGAGGAAGCCCGGTGCACCATCGGAGACGACTAGACCAGAATCACTATAGACGAAAATCTAACTACCAGAAGGCAAGTTTTGTAAGTAACGGCAAAAGTGCTGGTTATTCTTGGTCTAGCAGATCTATCATGTTTGCTCTGTGATGGCGATTTATCATATAAGACTGATCAGTAGCTCCATTTCTTCTTGAGCTATTGAAAAGCAGGAGGTTTGTGCCTTTTGGTACTGGAGAACCGTACATTTGTCATCTACTGGGAAACAGAGTTTTTAGGGAAAAACGTGTCAAAATTTCTTCAAAGGTCTCGAATGTTGATGCAGAACCAGTGTTTAATCCTTTTTTTGTCTGGAAAGGACAATGGGAAATTTACCATCCATGAGATGCTTGGGACTTGCTTCTCGACATCCATCAAGCACAACACGTTCAGGGTATTGCACAATGACACTAAATTACACTTCTGCTTTGGAGCTAGAGGCCTTTATGGTACAGAAGTAGAAACTACAGAAATTACACTGTAGCACTCCTGTGACTTCAGTGTTGCGTCTGCCATCTGTTTGCATATTGTAAGGAACAGTATGAGCAAGGGGAGAATCGCCAGTCTGTTGTACCAAGAGAGATTTGCTCTATGTTTAGAACTTCCATTTGAGTGAGAAAATTTGCTACAACTGCTTAGACTTTTGTGTTTAAATGTCTCTGGAGTTTAGTAAGTAGCTGTCATAAATGGCTGGAGTGTGGTTCCTTGATTTAAGTGCTAGAATATAATTTACATATTGTTTCTACAGCATATGCTATAATGTGTGCTTTCGCTGCAACCTAAATATTTAGTAGTAGTCAGAGAGAGGTTGATTGCTTGATATGAATGACCTTGAAATGAGTTCATAGCTTGTTCCTCGGTGCAAAATTGTTGTCCTCAGAGTGCACATCTCTCTACAGCAAATGAACGTGGGATCATTAGGAGAGCAGTGCCTCAGTTGTGGTGGTATCACTTTGGAAATACAGGGTAGTATTTCTACCCAGAGCAAGTACATGAGAAGCTGACTTTGCCATCCAGCAACATTGCTGAAATGTTCTGGATTAAAGATACAAGATGTTCTGTTATTTTCTTCCAGATCTGGGCTTCTCATGTTAATTGCATTAATGAAGCTGCATTTTGTACTGTCATTCCTTTGTAGGATTTACCTCAGGGATACGCAAGTCACGAAAAGACAGTTGCAATAAAAAAGGAACCAAAGGAATCTTTAGGAATAACAATTGGAGGTGGAAGGGATAACAAAAACAAGCTCCCTATATATGTAACGAGTGTGCAGCCCATCGGATGCCTCTTCAGGGATGGCAGAATCAAGCGAGGTAAGGAGGCTCTCAGACCCTTTATCCTTTAGGAACTGTTTTTTTGGTTGGTTTTTTTTTTCAGTGGAAGTTGAACACTAAAGTAATGCTGGAAACAGGGTTCCACCTGAGACCTTAAGGCAGAAATGGGCTTCATAGCAAAAGGTCTGTAATAATCCTATCTTATTTAATCAACAGGAGATGTACTTTTGAGCATAAATGGCATTGATTTGACTCATCTGAACTACTATGAAGCTGTCTCAGCACTGAAATCTAATGCAGCTTCTCACTCAGTCATACTGAAAGCCTTGGAAATAATTTCATTGAACTCGACAGAGCCATCTCTGGACATCAAGGAGCAAGGATTCAGCTGGTCTCCCCTCTGGATCACATGGCTTGGATTGCCTAGGTACGTTTGTTCGGTGACTGTATAGAGATCTGTTAAATCACAGAGCTGACTTTCACTCAAACACTAGAAATTAATTGCTTTGTTGGTTGACTTGGAAGCATTACTGGTATTCTCATTTAGCTCTAGGACAGTGGAAAGCCTTATTTGTCAAGGAGATCACAGTATAATGAATGCATGAGAAACTTTCACTGCTTTTTATGGTGTGACCCATCATTCTCCCACTTCTGTTGGACAGCAACCATATTTCAGAAGTTCCTGAAAACCTTTTTTTCTAAAAGAACTGACACAGAAAATGAGAAATATAGATTCTGGCATTTGAGGCACTGACTTGACAGATAGTTAATGTTGTCCCCCCTTCATTTGACTGTTACTGTACCTTGCTACTAAAGCAAGGAGCAATGATTTCAGATGCCCTTTCTGCTCTTCAGTCTTCCTTTCTTACTCAGACCTGAAGTCAGGCATCTGAATTTGTCTGCCGTTCTTCTGTGGGTGTGAGGGTGGTTAGGAGGCACAAAGCAAGGTTATGTCGTTTCTGGATCTGACAAAATCTTCCTTCTTGTTTCCAATAGTAAAAATGGATGTAATTCTTGTGCTTCCTCACTGATTTTCCCATCCACTCATAGTAAGAGCTGGTAGCAACTAGCAGCGTGAAAGTTAAAGCTTATTGCTGATGGCATGTGCGATTTTGGTTTTGTTCAGCTTTTTTTTTTTCCAGTTACTACTCCGATCCAGCAGAAATATCCTTATCTCCTTAGAGGAAACCCATGTATTTCTTTCTAGTTTGAAGTCAAAGTTTATGCTGAAAGACTGGAGTCGAAGTTAGTGCTCAAGGCTAGGGAAGTGTATTCAGTTGTTGCAACACTTGAGCCCACAGTGTTTAATTCTAGCCTTGATTCTTGTATCTGTGGTTTTCTGTTTATGTCAAATACTGTCTGTCATCTCGGCACACTTGGTGATGTGCTGTTTCTGAAAAGCGCAGCCCCTGCAGCCCATCTGCAGAACTTGGGTTATGTGCCAGACTACTGTTGCGGAAGCGTTTTAGGAGAGAGATGACAGCCCTGGCCCTGTGCCTTTGGGACCTGGGTAACAGAGGGAATAACATGAGTGTCTTGGTCACATTCTTCCTAAAAGAAAAACACTCTGTGCTCCGAAGGCTACTTTCACGCCACAGTGTTTGGTGCGTAAGCTTGGAGCATCTTCCACCTCTGACTATGGCCAGTGCTGCACACTTCCAATGAAGAGACAAACATCCCCGTAAGGGGGACAACGTAGTAATATTTTTCCGTCTAACCTCAGGCAACTAGTATTGGCTGTACTGAACCAGGCGACTGGTTTCTTTCTTGGATTTTTTTGTCTTGTAATACGACTGTGGGTAGCTCTACTGTCCTTGTAAACTTGCTCTTTCTCTATTCTTTGCTTTGTTATTAATGGTGGCGGTGAGTGGTCCAAGTTAATTGTATGCTACTACTTATTGCTAATGAATGTTTATAATCATCACTGTATATGTCACAAAAGACAGCATAGGAACTTTACTTGATTTCTTCATAGTATTATATCAATACCAGCTACTGATAGCATAAAATACCATCTCAAAATCCTGGTTTGGAGGGGGTGCGTGTCCTAATTCATTGCACACTGAATCCTAAAGATACTAGAAATACCAAGTTTACAGATTTATCTTTTCTCTGTAAGAGCTTTGACTCTTGAAATGGTAACTGTGCACAGTGTGGCTTATGGATAATTCTCAGGGGGTGGAAAAGCAGTTTTCCTCCTGCTTTCTTCCTTGAGGTTTATCTGAAGCCAGTCTCCATGAAGTCTGAGCTCTTTCTGCCATAACTGCTAGGTGCTCCCTGCCGTGGCCCCACTGGAGTGGCGCACTCCACAAACTCTGAAAGGGATGCAGAACTGCAAACTCGGCAGGGTGTTTGTCAGAATAAAACTTGCACCTTTAAACTTTCTGTAAAGTCTAAAATTCTTTTCCCACAGTCATTTTCCATTATAGTAAATTAATGTTTCTCTTCCTAAAAACCCTTTTGCATATGGAAGACTGATTTCTAGCAAACAGCATTTTCCAACTCTTGGAGAATGTGCCTAATGTTTTTATTTATGCTCTATGCTGACGTAGTGCTTACCACCCTCGCTCTCTGGGCTATTTATCTGCACTAGCTGCCACATACATTTCTCATAGCTGTGTTTTCATGCTTATGTGGTACCAGCAGAAGAAAACCATGGAGGCATCAGTAAGCTAGAGCTGGGTCTTCCAGCGTTTGTGTGTGAAGAACTCATACAAAAGTAAGTTACAGTTTGAAAGTAGATAATTGGATCTTTCTCCTAGTGAGACGTTAACTGAGAAGGCTTTTGAAATCTGAAACTCATCTGCAAACTGCTCAAGCAAAGCCCTTGAGGCAAAAACGTTTATTAGGAAAAGTTTAGCTGCTGGAATACCTCAGTGGGGTGATCAGCGGCAGTTTCACACAGCGTAGCTCTGGCAGCGCCTCGGTGCCAGAATGGAACCTGACTGTGAGCCAGAATACACGAGATGCTTGCCCGCGCTCCTGCCACACCTTTTCAGACGCCTCACAAAGGCTTTGCATGTCTTTGTGCTACAAACTCAAGGAGCAAGTGCTGTTAGCACTTACATATCACATTCTCCAAGGCAGCCCTAGCACTGCAGCATACCCCAGCCTTACTGAGGAGACTCAGTGGCTGGCATTCAAAAACAGTGGCCTATGATCTCTCGCCGAGCAGTCCAATATCTTACTGTACGCAGCAATCCTGCATGTAGGTCCTGCAGGAAAGAGCCTTCCTTCGTATTCCGATTTGGTAGTTAGTAGAAGAAAGGCTGCCATACCTCCTATGTTTGCTTTCCATCAGTGATACGTAGCTGCTGAATGCCTTCATTGTACCAAATGCATAGTATACAGATGGAATTAAAAAAAGCTCGATTCTCATTAATTGCATGGGTGTAACTGCTGTTCGTGATTAATTTGGTTTTGTCACTAGTACTATGCATGTTCATTAGTAGAATTCATGAAGTTATTCATGAATCCTTCAGGTCACAAACTCCTTTAGAGAATGGTAATTTTCTGTTAACTCTTAAACTAGCACTGCCAATACTGAGAAAAGATTTCTAAAGGACTGGCATCTTCAGATTTGGGAATTATCCCTGTAACATGCCCTGCAAAGGGGTTGCCTCAAGTCCTTAAAAAAGGAAAATAAATATGAGGCTGTTATATAGCTGCGCTTTTGGCAAGGGAAAACGTAATTTTCTGGTTAGGCAGTTTTCCTTGAAATGTACTCATAAGCTTTCTCTGTTTCTGACCGCGCCTGTCTTCACAGCTACCTTCACTGCTGTCAAGATATTGTCCTTAGTAAAGGTAACCTGGAAAGCTGGGGCTTCAGCATTGTTGGAGGCTTTGAGGAAAGCAAAGGAAACCAGCCATTCTTCATCAAAACCATAGTGCCTGGGACTCCCGCCTTCCGAGACAGGAAACTGAAGTACGTATGAGCTGCCCTGCGGGTCTCTGGTGTTTGTGTCGGAAGCACTATCGGTACTTCTGTCAGCATGCGCCGTTTTACTCGGGGGCTGTCTTTTACCCTTTTAACTAGCTGAGCTAAAAGCTAATGACTTCTAATTCTTAGCCACTCATTTGTGTGGTTAATACTGCTACCAAAGTTCTAACAAAGTCCTAACAAAGTCCTATATTAATGAGTGTTTTGGTTTCTCTATAAAGGTGCAACTAAAAGGAATTGTTACGTTTTAAAAGGCTGTAAAGGTTTTAACTAAGTAATCAGATAAAAGTAGAAAGGGGATGTTTGAGCTGAATCTTGGAGGTTCCAGAGTATAAAATCTCCTGGATTAGGAAAAGTATCCCAATGGAAGCAACAAAAGCCCTCCTGTACAGGAAACTTAAAATGAGCTTTGCTGACGTGTTTGTTAGTAATTGCAGCGAGTGGATAGTGGAGCTGGGGGACCCCACAGAACTTTCTTGCAGTGTTATCTCTGGGAACAAACAGAGCTGGCTTCTCAGCAAGCAGGCTGCAAGTGCAGGACTGTAAAAAGTAGAATTGAGGGGGACATAGTTTCGGTGCAGGGAGCTGTGCTTTGCTCCCCTGAAAACGGTGTAAAGAACAGAGCAGGGTGAGAGCCTCGGTGGGAGGACCGAGGTCAGCTGGGTTCCTGCGTGAGCGCTAGGACAGCAGTGCACCTTCCCTTTAAACACAAGGAAGGCAGCTTCAGCACCTCACATCACCACAGCTGAACAGTACAACCACTCAGAAGATAGCTTGGTGTGCCACAGAGGTGGGCGGATCAGGCAGGACTCTGAAACCTCTATTGTATGGAGCTACAACGTGACAGCATGCTTCTGAGTCGTGAGCACTTCACCTTAGTGATTGCTAGTCAAGTAGCTGTGGGAGCGACCTTGGTGATAAGTATGTTTATCAGCACAAATTAGTTTTCTGTAACTTTTCCCTCAGCTGACTGGCCAGCTGGTCACGCTGCTGGTGACCTTTATTGCTGTGTCACTCAAGTACCAGCAGTGTCCTCCTTTTCCCTTGCCCTCGTTGACTCAGAAGCAAGCCTCTGACAGCAACCACTCACTGCTTGCATCTGTTCCTTGCCCCTCATCTTTCATCGAGTGAAAAAGTTCCTTCAACAAAGAGTTGATGATCTTGGCTCAGGGTGGGCTAGATGACCTTGGGGGTCCTAGGGTGCAGTGTTAACCATAATTAAGTAAGTCCTGACAAGCACGTTTCCTGTCTTCTGATTAGGTGTGGAGATGAAATAGTGGCAGTAAACGGAGTGCCAGCAATAGGAATGAGCAACTCGGAACTAATCCCAATGCTGAAGGAGCAAAGGAACAAAGTCACGCTTACTGTGGTGTCCTGGCCGGGAAGCCTCGTGTGAAAGCTCAAACAAAACACACAACAGTTTCAGGTATCGGATACCAGTTGGCCGTCGCACAAAGCTAAACATGGGACAGAGAAACCGAGGGAATACTGAACTCTTGCTACACAGTGTATTGCCATGGAAGACTTTCAGCTTCCTTTTTGGAGAAAACATTTCTTTACTGCGCTGAGGTTATCAACAAATCTGGGTGTTGGATTCAAAGTAATGGTTAATCCAAACAGTTGTTGTAGCTTCCTGGGCTCATTAAAGCTCTTTAGAATTGGTGTTTCTCTACAAATTGCCTTTGAGGCCCTTTCCTCAATTTTAGAGCTCTGCTTTCCATTTAGTATTTTGAACAGGTTAGAACAGATGTGACTGTCCGCTTTCCCCGGCTAGTTCGATACATGTCTGACTGCCATTCTTGGACATGGAGTCATTTCATATGTGCTTTTAAAAGCCACTAATAAAACTGTAAGGATGTGGACCCAATTAAGTAGTTCCTATAGCCCCCAGCAGTCCTGACATTTTTAGGTTTCTGAAACCTAATGAATGTGTTTATACATTAAAAAAACAATTGTAACTCTAGGTTAGCATGGTGGAGCTGTGTTGACTTGTATCGAAGGTCCTATCACCAGGTAGCTGTTGCAAATCCTGATTTAGGATCCTGCCAACTACGCCAATTTGTCACAAACAGGCGCTTTAGACCGCTTAAAGAGCCACTGTCAAAGGTATCAGCAAAAGTGCTTTCACTGAAATATGATGTTGTAAAAGTGCGACTTTAACAGAAGTTCGATGGCAAGGTTCACTCTTAGTTACTGCACAAAGGCTGTAACAATGATTCAAAACTACCAAGACACAAATCAAAGTTACCATAATTCAAGGTTATGCGCGATGTCAGTCGCTTACCAAAGATTTGCCGTTGGTGAGAGGCCTCGAGGAGCAACCTTGAGAAGTATCCCAGCTCAAGGGGAGCTGCTTAGCAGGGAGAGCTCAAAGAAGGCTCACTTAGGCTGCCGGATTTATGGAATAAAGCGGTTGGCTCGTAGTCAAATTACATGCGATGGAAAAGGTATGCACGAGACTCCTCATACACACAACTTTCTTTGTTCCTTGATAAATGAGTAGTGGAAAAGCCAGCCACTATTCATCTATTAATTGCATGATTGGTGTTCCAAGCTCATACGCATCGATGCTCACTGTGTCACTGCTCCTTTGTGGGTTTTCACAGAACAGATTGGAACTAGAGAAGTTCTTGGCCCGGTTACGGCTTAGGCCTTTCCCTCCTTTGGAGCCTGTACAAAACCACTGCTAGTTTGGTTAAGGGGTCGAGTGCATCCATCGCAGTAGCCAGAGATAAGGAATTTGTTTAATTTTCATCCCTTTCCTCAGCTTGGTTTCCCTGGTTTTATGACTTGACAAAATGACCAGATCTTTCCGCCAGATGATTAACTAAACTGGCTTGTTACAAGAAACCTCTGTCCCAGGATGCTGCCTTATTTTTATCAGTCTCCCAGTGATCAGATGCAGAGTTAAGGCAGGGGGGAGGAGGATGTACCCGACACAGCGCCTGTGTTGTCAGGCACATGAGACGCTCTCCTGCAGTTCTGTTCACTTCCCTCTTGCAGCTGGAGCAACCTATCAACTCCCTGGGTCGGGGTAAGCTCGGAGGGTCGCTGGCTGCCTCGGGCACATTGTACCAACTGTATGAAATAAGCTACCTCCAGAGGGACACTGTGCCCGGTTTGGCTTCAGCTCAAATCCACTGTAGAGTTAAAATTTAAAATAAAAGAACTGAAGCCACGGCAGGTTGGTTTGACCTATGACACCTTGCTACGTTCCTACCTGGAAACTCCACAAAAGCAATTCCCTCCTTTTTTAGAAGGTGGTTAGTCAGGAGTGGAAATGACAGCTCTTTCTCAAACCCGGTTGCATTGAGAGAGATCTTTCCTCTTACGCCGTTTCTGCTGTACCTTTTACGGGGCCAGCTCAGATGATAAGAATCAAAGGAGTTTCTCTCCCCTATAAAAATGCTACTTAGAACGAATGTTAAATTCCTTCTTGTAGTAAACTGACTGCAGGTCAGTGCCCAGCACTGTCTTAAGCAGTGCTTTTCTTAGGGCCGGCTACTTCGTAATTAGCCATTACTGCAGTGTGAAATTGTTCCTTGCCATATGACTTAGTTGTTTACATACAGAGTGACTTCACTTCCTTTGGCTGTTAGCTTAAGGCAGTACATAGCAGGGCCTGTTACCAGAGCCTATTATACAGAAATAGCTTAGGATCCAATCGCCACAAAAGCTTCCCTGGCCCACGGTGTGGCCTCTTTGTTTGGTTGATAAATATCGCTGTGGACTTCGACAGCAGAAACAGCGCGTGGCCAGCTGGCTCTGCGGCCTTTTTTTCCTGTTGTTCCTACTGAATGCTGACAGCAAAATAATTCAAAAGTCAGAAATGTCTGACACAAAGGAACAGAAAAACCTGAAGCAATTTTTCTCTCTTTCCAGTGAATGTGCAGAATCTGTGCCTGTTATGGAACAGTAAATATTTATGTAGCTAGAGAGAGGGCGATTCCTACTGCGTAGTACCAAATATCACTTGTATAAAGTACAGTAGGAAAAAGCCATGCAGCTGGTGGTCAGACAGTTTAAGTGAAGAGCATGCTACAGAAGACAGCATGATTTTTACTATTACTCCATCGCGTTTCAAGGTGCCTTCAACTTCACCAAAATGTCCTAGTAATTTAAGTATTGTTTCCAAGATCAGCTTGTTAATAGATGTTGAAATTGTTTTGATGCCTTTATAAATTATTGTAATATTACTGAAAAACATGTATTATAGGTGGTTTTTTTTAACCTTTCTTTCCGGTGTATCAGCTAACGCCCCCAGAATAGGTCACCTCAACAACCACCTCCAAGAACCTGACCTGGTGAGGCAGGAAATAGCGTAATTGTCTTCTGCTTTTCCCAGGAAAGGAACTGGACTGTCCTGAACTATACTATGGCTGTGACTGGGGAAAAACCTGAGCAAAAATAAATCCCACATACCCTTCCCCTCCATTGTGCCCCTGCTCCTGCCTGCCAGGCTGGCCGCAGCCCACTAGTGCCTGTGGGGCTCAGAATTAACTGGACTGAAAAGCTAACCCAGGGAATAAATAAAGCTTTATTTAACAAGGCTTAACTCCCCGATTCGGCGTGCTGCAGAGGTCAGCAACTAAGAGGCGACGCCGGGGCTGCCGCCGTTGCTCCCAGAGGAATTGCGTGTCCAGGCTGGGGGCTGGGTTAGGTTTTGTTGTGATTTCTACTGCTGCAGCGCAGGCAGCACAAAACATCCCTGACTGGAATGGCAGCGTCTGATGGTCTGGGAGTAAGACATCATTGCCATTAACTATATGCTGCACAACCGTAATGAAGGTAGCCTCTCTCCTCCTTAATGCTGTGCCTATTTCATACTGTCAGGAGCTGAACGACCTGCCAGAGGGTTCCCCAAGATGCCTTACACCTTCTCTCCACACTAAGCTGGCTGGCACTTGCGTAATAAGACTTGTGCAAGTGCTTGTCTCTGGCTGTGAAATTCACCCTCTCAGCAATGCTCGGCACCCAGGGCATTCTGCACTCAGTAACACACAGGCCCGTTTCTCAGCTCCAGCTTTGGTCCAGTACACGTACGGATGCCACCAGCCCAAGAACTGGCCTCTTTTCTGAGAATTGTTGGGGTCACCATTCAGTATCCCCAGGGAACACGACCATGAAACCTGCAGTAGTCACCTGATGCAAGTAAAGATTACTTCCAAAGCCCCACCTTTAGACTTCCCTAATGCATTAAAGGCAAACATTTCACCTCTTATTTATTTCATGAAAATAAAACCATTTCAAACTATTTCCCTTAAATTCACAGCTGCTTCTGGCAGTGTAAGCCCGCTAGCATCAGTGAAGGACTTGGGTCTGTCTGTAAAACATTCAAAAAACACAAGAGGAAGCTGCAGCACTGACTCCTCAATACAAGACTCTCCGTCCCCTCTCTCACACCACCACCGATAAGCCCAGGTGCAGAGGGATGCAGTCTGATGTGATCACCATTAATTATGCTTATTTACCAGTTGAGCAGCTTCTGTCACCTCCACAAGGGAGGTGAAACAGAGCAAGAGACTAAGGGAGCAGATGTAGAATAGCTCTGCCCACCCGTGGAGAGGCACCACATACACCTTAGCGTGCAAAAATGGAAGAAATAATATTGCTGACTGGGGGCCAAACCCTAGACTTACCTTAGCGTAAAACTCTATCGCCAGCATTTTCCCCTGATTCAAGACAGGCAAAAACCAGCTCAGGCTGGTCTGGGGGGCACTGCCTGGCCTTTCCTTTGGTGCGAGCTGCCCTAGCAATTTCAGAGTTCACATTCTGGAAAAAAAAAAATACCAGATTTCATAATTACAGAATACAGGCTCTTTACGGAGGCAGAGGCAAGGATGCTGGGCCCCTCTCCCACGCGACACTGCAATGTCGTGCAAGGGAGCCTCCGCTCTGGAAGTGGAGGGCGAGCACGTTTGTCATTGCACTGCAGGCAAGTGTGGTTCCAGGGGACACGCACCAAGCACTCCTGAATCCTTCCTACCAGTTTTGTTTTGATTTCTCCTTCGCCCACATCACAACTGGATAAAAGCAAGTTCATCCCAAGTTTCCGCACCTGAAACCCACCACCCCGACTCCAGGAGAAGCGTGCCAGGAGGCTTCCCCTCGTTCCACCCGCTCAGTGCCAGGAGCTGGGATTCCTGCAGCTCGCCTCTCGGCGAGGCACCGCTGCCCTCGTCTGACGCCCAAACAGGCGACCGAGGAGAGATGCCGTATTCCTAAATCGTGGTGTTCCACCGGAACTCTGACGCGGCTGCAGAGGGAGGAATACTTTGAAGCCTGATTCCAGGTCCTGCCCTTTAACTCTGGTTCCAGTGCATGCACCTCCCCACTGCACACACATTTGCCATGATCTCAAAGCACGTTTAAAAAGCTACATTAAAAACAAAAAACAAACAAAAACCCCACTCTTTCTTCTTCTCCCCACAGGTTTTGCAGTTAATGACTCATCAAATGCACCGTCACAGCATATAAACTTATCACAGCGCTCTACTGGCCCAAGTCTCTAAGGTTGTAAGCTTCACATGACACTCAGACTTGCAAGATTACAATACAAAAAAAAAAAAGTAACATTTCAGAACCATATTATTTTAGGGTAAAGATTTAAGACAGTTTTAAGCAACAAGTCAAAGTAGTGGAAGATACTTAAAACTGAGACACTTGTAGACTTACACAAACAGAAGTGCAGTATCCTAATTACTAGACGTACCAAAAACCCACAAAATTATTTCCCCTGTTCTTCCCACCCAGGAACATCTCTGTCGCCACCCTCCCCAACCAACACTAAGTCCAAACAAACTTTGGGATTCGACTGAATTTATTTTGAGATCTAGGGGGAAGGAATGCATTGCACAGGAGTGTTGGTGATAACCAAATAGAAATAAGCCGAACCCATGAGGGCAAACTGCTAAATGGGACTTCATGTTCTCTACTGTGCTAGATTATTCAGCTCAACTCTTAGTAAAAAAAAAAAAAAAAAAAGTTAGTCAAAACTAATTAAAGAGAAACTCATGCTCTTACATGGATCTTCCATTGATTTCCCACTTATAGGTGTAATACATGATAGAACTATTTTTGCAATGAATAAAAAAAGCGCTAGGTTTGAAGTCTTTGCACACCCTGTGTAAACACATGTGACAGCTTCTCAAAGCCGTCAGACCAAATCTTGTGACCCGCCAGTAAAAGCAGTTCCTCCTCACATGCTGCCCGGCTGGCCACAGAGAAATCAGAAGACGTTTTTGTAGCTATAAAGAAATTTATTTGGGGATGGGACTTTTCACTACTAGAAGCCAGACTCTAAGCTGGCTCTCAGGATCTAAATCACACTTTTCTTTGGACAATAAATTTCAAGTCGCGCTTACTGTCCTATTTTTCAAAAAGGAATGATGATGACAAAAAATAAACAAAAACTATTACCTAAATGAGTTAGTTTCAGCTGAAGCCATCTTCCATCAGAAACCATAGGATCTGATACAACAAAGTTCTCCCTAGGGATGTTTATGAGTAGAGTAGCTCAGTGCTCTGTATACTAGTACTGCTGTATTTTGTCTCGTATCAAAAAAAAAAAAAAAAAAAAAAAGTGTAACTGCATGTGCAGCCTCAGCTCTCAAACCACTGCCACATGCTTCACTGCTCCCCCAGAGTCAGCCTCTCTTCCCTTGGGGAAAAAAAAAATAAAAAAATCAACCCCCCAAAAACAAAACATCACCAATGCCACGCTGGTTCGAAAGGAGTAAGTTCCTCCTGAGGGCTGACGGTGGGCCTGGGTCACTCCTTGGCATCCTGCTCCTCTCCCTCCTGGGCACCATCTTCACTGGCCTCCTTCTCCTCTTTGCTACGCTTGTTCTTTTTGTGCTTGTGACGCCGATGACTCTCCCCCTCCTCGCTCTCATGTTGCTTGCTGTGGCGGGGAAGAAAGGGGAGAAGAAAGTTACATCAGAGCCTGCATCAGCACGGCTCTGCCACAGAAGAGACCCAAACGCACTGACTCTAGTGGGGATGGCGGGGACAGAGCGCTTTGATCTAGAATAAACAGAAGACGGATCAGAAGTGCTGAGGGCATCACGGTGCCATTGAAAGGCTTCATCGTGTTTATTTGGGATGATCTGATATCGCATGTGGCTGAACAAAGGGCAGGTTATGCAACCGCTGGAGGTGGCTGCTTTACACCACACGCTGCATCAGCGCAGGGTTTAGGCAGGCAGCACGCTAGACAGACTGCTGTCAATAATTTTTGCATAGTTTTTATAAGCAACATCTCTGTGTCCGTCCCACTCCTAAGGGAGCTCTAACAATTTTGACACATCTCAAGGTTCAATGGGAAGCACTGAGGCTGCTGAGAGAAAGAAGAGTCGTAAATTTGAGAGGTGTTTGAAACTTTCACTCTGAACGTCTTGGGGAAATCCCTGAACCAGAGGCAAGAAAGGGATCAACGTAGCTAGAGAAACGTGGGTTTCCTAATGGGAGGCAGATCCTGTTTCTACTTCTGCTTACTCATAAATGACCTGGCACTTCACTAGCTTTGTGCTTTAAAACTCCTCTATCTGCTCACCCAGAATTGTTTTCCAGATGCAGCTGGATAGCTGTGGATGTTTACACAGGTTTTCTGCGACGTGGGAGAAATCCCAGCCAGAAGTAACTCTGACCAGGTTGTGCGTGCCTCCGAGCCCTGCACCGGTGACCACAGCCAGCTGCACTGCGTAGGCACAGCGTGCCTGGCACAACCCACGCACACTGAGATCAGCCTCTGCCTCCCATCAGGGAAAGCGGAAAGGTAGGAGCGCTGGTTTTGCCCACTGTGGTTCTTGGCTCCTCCCGGGAGGAGATTTTCTGCTGCTTCTCAAACATGCAATTATTTCTGCTCACAGGTTGAAAACCAAGTGAGGTCTCTAGAGCTGACCGTGGTGTGAAGGTGGCAGAATTAAAACAGAGCACAGAGTACAGGAAAAAGCAGATTAAATTTACCACAGGAAGATGTACAGTCACACAGTACAGACACCCACCTCCACGAGTAGGGACAAAGTCAGGTGTAGAGACAAATTCTTACCACAGCTGGGATACCAGTTTAGCAGCAGAGACACCTAACTGGCTGAACCACTGAAGCCCTGGCTGAAAAGCTTCTGGCTTCGAGTAATTTCCTGACTTGTTTAATAAATGGTTTCATAGTCATTAAAATGAAAAAAATGCCTCTCCTCAACACACCTTCAGCCACCTTGTGGACAGCAATGCAGCAGTGGCTTATGCTTGAACAATGTGACTGTCCTTCAATATTTAAACAACCGTCAGCGATTTCCTTCAGACCATCAATTTGCAGTAAACTGGAAACAAGAAGGAATCCCTTTCATCTTCCTGCAAATGCCCTGAACAGGCTCAAATCTTGAAGTGCCTCAAGCAATGACTCTGGTATGCACTTGAAGTGGCCTTAAACAAAAAGTATTCATCCATTTCCTTTAGCTAACGAACACTTCCCATCCTACCACTTTGAGCAAGACAGAGAGCATCTGTGTGTGGTTTGAGGAGCAGAGGAAAAGTCACCTCATTCCCACCTCATGCAGTAGCCCAATTCTATAAATCGAGCTCTCAAGCAGATTCTGACACTGCTTTGGTGAATTCCACCCTCTTCATGCAGCCAGGTATCTAACACTAGATTTCAATTCTAAGCAGAGGAAGCTGAGAAATAACCCTTGAAACTATTGGCTTGTTAGTCTGGTATCGGTTCAGCTTCTGTTTGTTTTGTATTCAGTTTTGATTATGGTCCTGGCCTTTCTTCCCATCACTTTGTTTCCAACCCTTCAGCAATCAGCCCTTTCTTGAAAACTTAACTCATCTCCTTAAGGATGAGAACAGCCTTTTGCCTCCAGTCACTATGTAGGAGTTCTTCTGATACCAACTTCAAAATAAGGGTAGTTACCTACAGAGCTGCCATGGATTTCATCTAAAAGAAGGAAGTAAGTTGAAGCACCAAAAAACCAAGCAAGCCTGCTCAAGTCATTACCAGGATGTAAACTGACACAGGAACTGAGCATTGCCTCAGACCAGAGACCAGACCTGTTACTTTGCCAGAAGAATGCTCTCACAGGAAGATCATCTGCAGCAAATACATTTTCTCCAGAAAAGCTGGGATTTTAGGACATCCTGGTGTGCTCCAGAAGTGTTTCACCTTTGTTCAGATCATCATCATCCTCTCTATCAGAAGCACTGGGCACAAAGCTCTGATCATGCAGTGCTCAGCCTCCTGCTCCAAGAGGAAATTTCAGATTACAGGTTGAAGAAAGCTCTTCTCTTCTGCACAAGACCACATAATACTGAAAGCTGATGCTTGTCTTATGGTTTTGCATTTTACTTTGTGTGCACTTTCTTAACAGTGGGAGCTATGCTGTTCTGATGTGATGTTTAGCACAGGTTAACCTCTCCTTTGACAATCAGTGCTGCAATTCTGTTGGCAGTGACCCGACATCCTGCCAGCTGCCTTACTGAGAACTTATAAACACCATGGACTCCTCTCCCTATCACAGACAGTTCTGCCTCCTGCCCAGGCACATGCCCGAGAGCGCTTTTTCTGCCTGAGCGTCACGTCTCAGGACGTCCACAGACCACAGGAAGCCGGGATGACCCAGGGTGACAGTTCACTCTGAGAACATCAACCTTCTTGTCTGCAGCTAAGGTGTGTGCCCGTCAACAGCCCAGTTCAGCCCTAGACAGCTCTTACCGTCTCGAAGACTTATGCTTGCTGCTCTCCTCTTTGTCTCTGTGCCTGCGCTCTCGGTGACGATCCTCTCGCTCCCTGCTGCGATCTCGACTCCGTCGGTAGTCACGCTCAAAGTCGTAGCTGCGCTCTCGGCTGTAGTAGCGGTATCGTTCATCATCACTTAAGGAGAGAAAGAAGAAGTGAGGCAGAGGAACACACCACTCGTGGACCTGAAAGTCAGGAGCCACGATTACAAGACTGTAGAATCCCATCCTCACCAGTAAAATCTGTCACCTCTTACTCTATCAACAGGCTGAGATATTCATGATGCTCCTGAAAAAACCTGTAACAATACGCTGCTGCTGCTGCTTATTGAACCCAAGCTGCAATCCAATCCCAGTTTCTAACCCCAGTGAAATAGCTTCCTCCATTTGCCTATTACATAGCTCATAAGCCCAAACAGTTGAGTATCATGGCTCTCTCCTGGCCTCTCAAGGCAAAGGGTTCACAAAATTTGTTCTCTGGATTTGCCAAGGGAGTACCTTAGCAGCAGGCATGTGGCCAACATCTCAGGGCTTTTGCCCTCACAATCCTTCTGGAATATGTCCAAGACACCCAGCTACCTTGTTCAAAAACAAAAGATACATGCTCCTCTCATCATTTTGCCTCCCCTGGTGCTGGATTTTACCTCACAACACTATTGTCCCAGATAACCTGTAATTCTTTTGTGTGAGTTAGACTAAGAAACTATTTTCTTCCCCATGAGTTCAAAAACTCAAATTGTGAGTATAGCTGACATGGTCTTTCTGTCTACACCTAACTATCTGCTCAAGGCACCTCATTCAATCCACATACAGGACTGTGGGCATCCCAAATTCAGACACATCCCACACTCCCCTTCCCTCTACATCTTATAGTCCCTATTCAACTTCTGAAAGCTAAAATCTAAAGGTTTAACAAGTCCCACTGTGGGAAACAATATTCAGACTCTGAGAGAAAGGAAGTCTGAAACATCGTCCTAACACTCACGGATACAAGCTAGACAAATAAATATCCAATATCAATCATCTGGAAGTGCTCCAAAGGACTCCACTTAGCATGGCTACTTGCTCTGCTTTGGCAAGCGTGATCTTAGAGGTCAGCATGCTCAAAAGCACCCAGAAATGCTAACAATGTGCTCAGGCGTGCTGATCACAGGACTTGGCTGCAGCATGAACCTGCTCAGGAAGTGTGGGAGTCTGAGCTCTTCAAACTGTAGCAAGTTTGTCTTCTGTTCTATTCCTCCCCCTTCCACCCACAGTGCCCACAAGCTTGTAAGGGAAAAAAAGAGGGGGGGTGGGAAGAAAAAAAAAAAAAAAAGGTTAGGAAAACGTTGCCCTATTTGCTCACCCCCTGGACCGGGAAGTTCCCCGGCAGGCAGCACCCCTCTGTCAGGAATGCGCATTCTGATCATGTTTTGAATGATTATTGGTATTTCTGAGCCTGAAGCCTGCAAAACACTGACGCTGCCTGTGACAGAACAAAAAAGTGATGGGTTTAGAAAGAGTCTTTGCAGCCTAGCCTTCACTTTAGCGCCCTAGATCAACACTGGGAGGCTGAAAGCCTCCTCTCCCAAGTGCTCCCAGCGCTGCTGTTGCCTGAGATCACATCAGTTCCCACCAAGGTGGTTGTCTCCAGCACTGCTCGCAGGAACGCCTGGTTAAGGATTTACATTTCATGGCTGACTCCTGGTGAACGGCACTCCTTGCCCTGAAAGCCTCTATAGGAGAGCTGAGCAAAGCATGGGTGGTTTTTCCTTTGATCTGACAGTTGCATTTAGAAGACAAGAAGCAGCAGCTTCTATGGCCAATGTTTCACACTGAGCTGTGAAATACCTAGTAAACAGAGAGGGGCTATTTCACTCACTGGCCTCACGTTACAGGTGGGAGAGCAAGCGTAACTGGTTCTGCCAGATTTAAACAAAAAAAACAGACACAGGAAATCAGCCAGTGACATTGGCTCCTAGTTTGTCCTCTAGTTATTGATCCAAAGTATCTCTTCCCCAGACATTTCAGAAAATTAAACTGGTCTAATCTATAGTCCCATCCCTTGACCAAACACCTTTTTGCGCTCCAGGGCAAGGCCAGAGCTCCCTACTGGGTAGCTGTGAGCAGAAGCTGCTGAAAAACAGCACTCACTTGTTGTATTCACTAGTGGTCGGAGTGCGGTCTCTGTCTCTCTCCCTTTCCCTTTCCCGTTCACGCTCCCGCTCCCTCTCGCGCCTCGAGCCCGAGTACTCCCAATGGCTGCTGCTGGAACTGCTCGTGCCTTTGTCCACCGTTGTCACCCAGGGCGTGTGGGATGTGGAGATGGGTGGGTAGCTGATGAAACCTGAATCTGCAGCAAGAGAGCAGAATCCTTGTTCATCTGAAGCATTAACAGCATCCTCTCTGTCCATCCTGTTCCAAAGATACCCTCTGGAGGTGCAGCTGAATCCAAGGAGACAACGGCCCAGCTCCCTCCTGTCCTCACGCTCCATTTTTACTTTCAGCAGTTTGCTAAGAACATGTGAACACCTTTTCCCTGAGGAAGACGCAAGCAAGACCAGATATTTACAGACGTCACTGCAAAATCTCCCCATCCCCTTACACAGCACATTAATGCAAGGGCTATGCACTCCTCCAGCTCTTGTTCTCTATAGGTCCTGCTATATAGGGCATGCTATGAGGTCTCCACTCAGAAAAGTTTCAGTCCACCCCTCCCAGACATCCTGGCTTAGAGGGCAAAGGTGCAATGCTGAGGCACCCCTCTCCCACTGCTGAGCCAGCTGAGTTTAGTTGGCCCTAGGCTCTTGGCCACCCTTACAAGGTCTCACTTCTCACCTAAGGTGGCAGCTGGGGAAGGCCAGGGGCACGAGCTGTTAACGAAGGATGCCACCTGATGAGCCCAGAGCCACCAGCACTTCCCCATCCAGATGCTGGCCTGCTGGGGCCTGCTTAGCTGGACCAGCAAGGTCATATCCTGAAGCAGCAGCAGCTGCTGAAAAGCTGCACGTATGGCAGCACTTGAGGCTCCTGCTTCTCAGGAAGGCCTCACACTGCCCACTCCTCCAACCACCTCCTGCAGAGGCGCGGGGCTGCCTGTGATTCTGTCCGTTCAGCGTAGCGAGGAGGTGCCACTCCAAGTGCTGGTCACTAAGGAAATGGGAGAGGACATGGGCATTGCTGGCAGGGCTGCAAAAGGGAAGGAAATTTGCTGAAATTCTGGCACTGCCTCTTCCATTACAAAACAAAAGGAGACAGATGCCTGGATGTGCCTGTAGGCAAGGAAGATGATAAAGTCGGAGAGGAGGGCATTCAAAAGCTCAGGGAGGAGATGCGAAGCTCATGGTTGTGCTTGTCCCTGAGGCTGGGAGAAAAGGAAGAGAGGTGAGTGAGTGTGAGCAAGTATGTGTGTAAATAAGTACAAGAACATGTTGCTGAGGCACATGGGGAAGCTTCTCTGTTGCTGGATATCTGCACTGAAAACAAGCTTAACACTCAACTACAAAATTACATTCATCATTGCTGCAAAACATTCAGCTTTCCAAACACCTTATGGTGTAGTCAAACTCAGCATGTGTTTCTAGTGACTGGGATAGTTTGGGGCATAAGCAAGACCCTAAAGTTAAAGCAAGCATGACGTCCATCAGCTTAAGAAAAGCCTAAATACCAAATACCAGAGAAGAGAGATACAAGCAGTTTGACTGTGTGTGATCTTCAGTGCTCACCTGCAGAGTTGTAGCCAAATGGAGGAGGCTGCCTATTATTGTAGCTGGCTGGCTGGCTTTGGAGAGAGAAAAGGATGCAAGTTACTAACATCAGTGACCCCCCATCAGCAGGTATGTCTGCGCTGCAAGTTTACCCCATTTTTTCTGAAGGTCTGTGGAACATCCTCAGGGGAAACCCATGGTTTCTGTGAATCTGTTTCACTTTGCACTGCAAACTATCAGAAATGCATACAGGTGCAGTTGCATGAACATGACAAATCAAGGCAAATGCACAGAGGATTCCCTACAGACTCTGTTCTCACCCCCCACCCCAATCCATGACCAGACTAAGAATTACTAGCACTGATTTTAGACCTATCCTCCACCCCTCCTCACTACAGAGGAGCTGTACCCATGGCTCAGCCCAGGTGTGGTCTTACCCATCCAAGGTCGGAATGAGGAGAGCTGGTGGTGGTGCCAGAGGAGGCGGGAACAACCCTAGACACAGAAGCGTAAGTCATCATAAAGATCTCACAGCTTGCCGTGAGGGAACAAGACTTCATTGCTGTTTACAGTTAAAAGCAGTTAAAGCATCTTTTTACTCTAAACAAGGCCCTGTTTGAAATGCAATAATTTTCTTTCAGGGTTGTACCTCCTACCAAAATTAAAACCCTACAGCTATGTTAGTTCTGTAGGGGTACGGAAAGAGAAAAAAAGGCCTCTATTTTGGCTTATTCATCATAAACATAAGATTCATTAAGGAGTAAACATTAACCCTTACAGTCCTGTGGAAGACAGAAAAGTCTGGTTCTTGGGATGCAGACACGCTGCAACTACAGCAAAGGTTTTATTGCTCCATTGATTAAAACGAGTAACTTTGTCTCTTACAAAGCACGTAACATAGAATTCACCTGTTTTTGTTTGTTTTTAAAGAAAGCCAATTTTCTGAGCACATATACATATCAAAATCATGAGAAGACACAGCACCAACGATGCAGAGAGAGTTGTCTGAAAGGTCTGACACTTTAAAAATGGGCCCAATGTCAAACACGTGAAGAGTTACTATACAAAATCACAAGGCAGTATCTTCAAGAAAGCAGAATTAAGCATAACTTTATGAAGGCCACTTCCAGAGCAACATAAGCCTTGGAAGCCAAAGTCCTCAACCTTGACCAATCTGAAAGTGAGAAGGACGTGCTGACTGTTCCTAAGGGAATGTCTTAAACTTGTATCCGTAACTATAAGCAACCTTTATTTCTCTAGGCAGTTACCAATGCCAACAAGAACAGACTAACCACCCATTGGCTTGACTTCGCATAAAAATTCCTCTGTTTATTATTAAACAAAAAAAAGGAGCAAACTGTACTGATACAAAGGATAGGCGTCATCTGACTAACTGCAGTCATCTACGTTGAAGCTAGCAGCTCCAGGTTCCTTTTCAAGTCAATGGAGATTGAGCCAGCATAGTCAATGAAACCGTGGGACAATACATCACCTCTTACTGTGAACACTTAAAATGGGTCAGGAGAAGTCCTCCCTAGAAGCATCTCACTGCAAAAGGAGGTAGCCTGAAGTCTCCAGCTCAGCTAGTGGAGATCTATGCTGCAAACAAGTTGGGGGACACGTCTCACTCTTAGATTTTTTTTTTTTTCACTCCTTTTCCAAAGATCTTTGAGTAAAACACAATGCCTAGAGCATTTCAATCACACTTGCTCACCAAGCGCAAGTACTCCAAAGTACTACTGTTATAAGCACCTAACTCTAATGATGGTGGATCATCATCATTACCATAATTAGCAGGTTTCTTCCTCATCTCCCTTTCCAACCCAGTTACCTGGAGTGGAAGTTCTTTGCAACAGCCTGGTCATTTTATCCACGTCGCTTCTCCCAAACCAATCTAAATGCACTTGACTAGCAACTGGGCGCTGCAAGGTCTACAATCAAGACCAGTTTGCATCCAGTTTCATCGCAATATAGTTCTTCTAAATCCAAGCTTACTATGAGCAGGTTCCTTCTAGTACAACAATGAAAACCAGCTCTGCAATATTATTGTACATTGAGAGGAGTATGAAAAGTGTGATTTTAACAAACACAGGAATTTTCTCACTCTAAGGGATAGCCCAGCTAGTATAGATTTTCCATATTTCCATTTGGGAAGCCCAGAGAAGAGCATGAATACAAAAGCATGGACACGAAAGCTGTGAATCAAATCCAACATGTCTGACATATAGTGAGGACGAGCACATCAAGTCCGAAGTGCTTTGGGTGCAGACCTTTTCCAAGTACATGAATCAAGTATACAGTATAACACAGAGGCAGTGGCCTGACTGCGTATACGCAGTCACCATAGGCCTTGGATTTCCAGATGTACGGCATCTGGTCAGAACTATTGCTCCAAACGGTCTGCTATACAAACAGCTAAATTTGTTCTCCCTGGACTAGGCAAAATTTCCAGTAGGAAAAAAACAAGCAAATTACAGCTACAGGAAACTCAGTTTTATAGTAGTTCTGAATTAGTGGGGTTCTTAACTTACGCACAAGATCGGTTGTTACATTTCTTTATTAGCATTCACCATCTCTACTGTGCACCAGGGAGCAAAGGCTTTTGATGGAAATGGCACTTGCTCTGCTCAGTCTCACACTCTAAATTCCTATACAAAGCACCAATTTGTCACTCAGACTTTTGCTGTGCAAATGCCATAACAAGAACTAAACCACTTCAAATCTAAGTGGCTTTTGCCACCTGAAGTTCTCCATTTCACTTTCTAGATTGGTCTTCAGAGATAGTATTAAGAAGCCCTACAGATTAGTATTGAGGTCCAGAATATAAACATTTCACTTTCTAGATTGGTCTTCAGAGACAAACCAAGATAGTATTAAGAAGCCCTGCAGATTAGTATTTAGGTCCAGAATATAAGATAAGCAGCTAGAGTTCAACGCTGCATTGGAGTTTATTAGCCTTAAATTAACTGTGCTCTAAAATGGGTCTTGGTGTCATCCTATCTTGTGTTACTTAATCCAAATGCTCAGATAGGGCCATCTCTGTGTTCAGAATCATTGCTGTTAGTAAGAGCAATTAACACCTACCTGGAATAGGACCGGGTGGCGGCAGACCTATGGAAATAAACAAACAAGCAAAACGAGTGAGGACAACAGGTAAAGCATGTCATCTCTGTACCTCAAGCTAAACTTAAAAGCATACTTCTGAATAAATTTCACATATTTGAGCACAGACCAGCAGAAAAATTGGTGCTATTAAGCAGTAACTAGCCTACAAATGATATCATTTTCCCAAATGATGATCTCTTTACTTTTATATTGCAATTTTAAATGTTGCTGCTCTCTTACACTGGAGAATTCCTTTTTCCAAGTGTCAACACACAAACAATTGATTTGGCCTTCAGAACAACTGAAGGAGCTGGAGAGGAGAACCTGCTGCAGACATCAGTGTGTCCTTTTGCTCGTTTGTTGTTGGTTGGTTTTTTTTTTTTTAATTTTAAAAAATAATGTCAATCATAACCGCATAGTAAAGTCAGACACCCTGGTCAACAACTGTAAGAACGAGTGAACAATTTATCTTGATTTTGCCAATCACTTTAATGAAAGGCAGTAGGAAAAGCTACCATGGTCCATCACCGAGTACTGTAGTAATAATCCTCCTCAGATTAAAGGCCTTGGTGGTATTTTTTGTTCTGTATCTTCTGCATGTGGAGCCAATGCAAAATATAGGAGTTACTGCATGACATGCTCTTGGCAACTTCTCAGAAGTTTGGCTGCTGCCTACAGGACCAGGGAAAGCCCAGAGCATGGCCTTCACTTCAACCTCGATGCACTATTTAAGCCAGAAGCAACAGGGGTACAGACATGACTCACGTTGGATCAGAAGATGCGCAGACTTAATAGGAAGCGAAGACAGAAAAACGTGTCTTAGGCCATGGCCAGTATGTCTGTAAACTTGCACTGAAAAGGGTCAACAGAAAAATGACCCTATGCCCCCTGGAAAACGCTGCATGAGTACACATATTTGGCCTTTTCAGTTGCAAAGTTCTTTGTTCTCTCCACCAGTATTGCCCTATTTTGCCTGATGCCCAGAAAGAGTACTACTGGCCTCCACGTTGCAGATGCGTTAAGAACCTTTGTGGAAACTAAGTTATTACATGCACAGAAGAGACAGTGAAACTGTTCTGTAACATGGTGCTCAAGACAACAAAGTAGAAGAAAATTAGAAATTTTACCTCCACTATCTCAATAGGTTTCAGGACTCAGTCTGTAGCTGCAGAGGCAAAAGGCGTTCCTGCAGACACATGACTTCTCTTCACAGTGTCTTCTCAAGTGCCAAGTGCTCTTAGCACAATACAAACCCATCTGGTTATCGATAAGAGCACACAAACTTGCCAATGCTGAGGACTGATCACAGCCAATGGGCTAGAAACCCATGGTAAAGACCTCATTTATATTATTTATATTTTGCTTTTAAAATGAAGCACTGCTCTAATGTCTGCACTGGATACTAGACTCTTCTAGGAGCATAAGAATCATCCTGCGGTGGCAGTTGGTACAATAAAATGCACAGAAACAAACACAGAAAGATACAGATCTTGATATTTCAAGGCATAAACCAACCAAGAACTGACCTGGATTAGGAGGAAAGTTGTTTGTTAGAGCTGCTGTTGCAGAATTGCCAATTCCAGCATCACCCTTGAAACATTTGGAATCGGTCATAGCCAGACAGGATCCTGAACTAAACATCCTGCTGATCTGACACAGGATAGCAATTCTTACGTTCTTAGCTTCCTCCACAGATAAACAGGAACCAACTTCTTTACATTTATCAATAAAGCAAATGGATCGGTAGCACCCAAAGGCACCCTCATGGAAACAAAGAGTATTTTTCAAGGAACAGCTGCCATTTTTTAAGTTTTCAAGGGCAAATGTTAAATAGGCTGATGGAGACACTGAACAAAGACCGGCCAGTCTAAGGACCTGTTACCTGATTACTCCACTGTCCCACAGTGTTTAACGATTAAACCTCTGATGTGCTCCAAGCTTGGGACGTCCTAACTTGCAGCCTCAGACTGCCATATATTGCTGTGTGAACACATACCTGGAGGATGCAGGGGAGGTGGAACAGAAGTAACTGGTGGAGGAGGGTGGAGGAAGTGTGGTGGAGGTGGCCCAGCGAGCGGGGGAGGCGGTGGGCCTGCTGGTGGTGCAAACGGCTGTTGCTGAGGTGGCTGTTGGGGCTGTGATGGCTGCTGGGGCTGCTGGGGGGGTTGTGGCTTACTTCCGTGGTCTCCAAGGACCTTAGAAGGCAGAGGAATGAGAAGAGAGCATTTTAATCTCTTTGCTCTTGCAGCTAGAACCTCACTGCGCTGGCACAAAGGAAGCATATCACCAAAACAGGCAGCATTGTGATACCTGGAAAGATCAGGTTATGCTGTACCCAGAGGATAACATCTTTTGGGGAGGAAGGAAGGTTGATCAAAGCAATCAATATGCTTAGCAAGGTATCTTGTCTAACGCAGAACAGCAGCGAGACTTGATTCTAGCTGTAGACACAACTGTGCAAGACAGCTGACATTTCAGTGTTACGAACACCTTTTGTTCATGGGAACTGCCACTGATACAGGCTTTAGATTAAAAGCTGCTGTATTTGAGGGTGACACAATAGTGCTTCCTTTTTTTTTTTTAAACCCAATTTATCTTTCCTGAGAGCAGCAAGAGGCCAAATTCTGCTCTAGATTGTGCCCACACAGGTCAAAGGAAGACCAGATTCACAACTGTCTGACAAAAGCAGGTCACATACTGATGGAATGATCAATATGCAGAGACACCAGAATGACCTGGAAATACAGGTATCAATGCTTGTAAGTGGGAGGAACAACAATCATTTCCCAGCAAATTCTTTATCTTAGGCAAACTCTTTTTTGGGCGATTGTTGGCAAAATTTGGAAAACTGACCAGTAAGAAAATAAACAGATCACAAAAACACACGTAAAAACAAAACCAGGAATTGCATCTAGACAGGGGAAAGGTTCCATATTTGGTGGTTTTTTTTGTGACTTAGGAGCGGTTGGTAGGAGGACTGTGGTTAAGAGAAGAGTTCGCGGCAGGTGGTCCTCAAACCATACATATAGCACCTTCCTTCCTACCTAGAAGCCAACCAGAACATTATGGTCATACACTGGACATGCAAGATCAGAGCTGAGTCCAGTTTTAAACCCCAGGCTTTTATTTCTTATAAGGGACAAGATTCAGTAACACAGGCCCACCCTAAGTCTGAAGTGTGGGCTGCATCTAATGATGCTTAGACTAAATGTTACTTCAAAGTACAAAGAAACACAAGCCCCAAGTAGAAGTCCTCCACTGCAGAACTGGAGATTCCAACCCGACAGTGGAGGAGAAGGGAATAATCCACTTAAAAGCCTCCCAGCTATGTACTCTGAGGAATACTTTGGGAGACCTGATGAGAAAAGGAACTTGGGCCTTACCATTCAGATGGGAAGGCTAGTCTTTAAAGGACAATCCCTAGCTCCTAGCAAGATAAAGCTTTTAACACAGAAGTTAATTCAACCTGCAGAAGGGAACGATACATGCATATGCTTTGACAGGGTTGATATACTACCTACTGCTTTGCAGATAGAAACAGTGACGTGGGAGGTCAGGAATGCACAGACATTTGCTCAGGGTTCACTAGAAGCGCAATAAAATCAGTAATTTGTCAAGACGGCGCCAAACATTTACCTGAATTGGGTTTTCCTCAGAGGCATGCTTATCACGACGTCTTCCTTCTACTCTCCTAATTGTGCCTGCCTGGCCACCGATCACATCAATTGTCCCACCCAACTTCCTGGTACAAAGCAGATGCATTTTTTTAGGCTCAAAGACATTAGAAGGAGCAGTTTTCCCCACTATCAGACAGATTTCTCTCGTACATTCTTTTCCGCCAGGGAAAAATCTCTAGAGGCAGCACTCAAATTGGACAAGAGGTGAATGAGAAGTCCTTTTCCACTTTTGAGCAATTTGAGCTCTGCTTGCAGGGGTGAGTTAGGTCTCTCTGAACACCTAGAAACATGATCCAAAGAATCATATGGGTGTAATAACACAGATTGCACACTTTGGTTCAGAGCTGAAATCCTTTACTCACTCTACAGATTTGAATAATCATTCCCAGATCAGGCTCAGAGAAAGTGGAGAATATTTATCAGGAGAAGCGTTTAATGTTATCAGCCCAGATTTCTCCTGCTTTCTGTCCAATCTTCCAAGTGTTGCTGATACCACTGAAGTTATTTACAAATCAGATTCTCAGACACTTTCTAGGCACCTTCCTGGGGTCTACTCTGTTTCTATTAAAGAAAAAGTTTTGCCACCGCTTTCAATGAAATCAAGGCTAGATCCTTGAACAAAAATATATTAATGTAGCCAAGAAACAGTGCTGTTTATGCATTAGTGGAAATCAGTCACAGAACCTACAATTTTCCATGCTCTTTTATCTCCATACCCAGATCACACTTGGGGGAAGAACATTTTTATAGGAGCTCGTTGTAAGGTCACCACAAGTAAAGGTTTGTGAGAGAGAGAAGCACCCACAACTGAAGTTTAAAGAATCCCTCATCCTATATTCATGCAACAATTGATTTGTGTAAGTGTGGCCTTAGACACATTTTCCTGCAGTTAGGACAGAAAAACATCAGCACTTTTCCAAGTCACACTTGGGGGAAGAACATTTTTATAGGAGCTCGTTGTAAGGTCACCACAAGTAAAGGTTTGTGAGAGAGAGAAGCACCCACAACTGAAGTTTAAAGAATCCCTCATCCTATATTCATGCAACAATTGATTTGTGTAAGTGTGGCCTTAGACACATTTTCCTGCAGTTAGGACAGAAAAACATCAGCACTTTTCCAAGTTAGA